CAATAGGCAGTAAAGCCCTCAGATGACAGTGTAGTAAGTGTTCAATGAATGCAGTCTGTCATCACAATCATGGAAAATCCAGGATGGCTTAACACTTAAAAAAACGCTTAATGGGCTGGGGTTGTAGCTCAGTGGTAGAATGCTTATCTAGCATGTGTGAGGCACTGTGTTGGATCCTCAGCACCATATAAAAATAAATAAATAAATAAAGGTCTTGTGTCCATCTACAACTAAAACATTTTTTTAAAAGCCCAACTGTTATAAAGCATGAGATGTATGTCCTCCTGATTCAGTTTGGGCATATCATATGTCCCTAGAAATTTGTCATTGTCCTCAAGATTTTTTTTATTTTATTAGAGCTTAAATTTTCAAAATAGTTTATAATTGTCTTCTGTATTTCAATAGTGTCTGTCGTGATATTTCCTTTTTCATCACCTTTTGTTAGGGTGACTAAGGGTTTATCAATTTGATTTTTTCAAAGAACAAGCTTTTGGTCATTTTTTTTTTCATTTGTTTCAATTTAATTGATTTCAGCCCTGATTTTAATTATTTCCTGTCTTTTTGGTGTTGATTTTATTCTTTTTTCTTCTTCTAGGGCTTTGAGATGTAATGTTAGGTCATTTATTTGCTGATTTTTAAATTTTTTTATTCTTTTAATGAATGAGCTCAATGCATGAACTTTCCTCTTAGCACTGCCTTTTTAGTGTCCTAGAGATTTTGATATATTGTATGTGTGTTCTCATTTATCTCTAAGAAAATATTTTTATCTCCTTGCTGATGTCTTCTGCTATCCTTCCCCATCTGATAGTATATTATTTAGTATCCAGGTGCTAGAGTACCTTCTATTTTTTATTTTATCATTGATTTCTAATTTCATTCTATTATGGTCTGATAGAATGCAGAGTAGTATCTCTTTTTTTTTAATTCACTAAGATTTGCTTTGTGGCATAACAGGGTTTATTTTACAAAAGGATTCATGTGCTGCTGAGAAAAGCGTATTCACTCATTGAAGGATGAAATATTTTATATGTCTGATAAGTCTAAATTATTGATTATATTATTGAGTTCTATAGATTTTTGTTTAATTTTTGTTTGGAAGATCTATCCAGTGGTGATAGAGGTGTGTTAAAGTCACCCAGTATTAGTGTGTTGTGTTCTTTTTGATTCTTGAAATTGTACGTAGATGCTCCATTGTTGGGGGCACAGTGACACAGCCACATTAATGTTTATAGCAGCTCAATTCATAATGGCTGAACTGTGGAACCAACCTAGATGCCCTTCAATGGAAGAATGGATAAAGAAACTGTGGTATGGGCTGGGGTTGTGGCTCAGCAATAGAGTGTTTCCCTAGCTCGTGCAAGGTGCTGGGTTCAATCCTCAGCACCACATAAAAATAAATAAAAGTATTGTGTCCAAGTGCAACTAAAAATATTTTTTAAAAACTGGTATATATACACAGTGGAATATTACTCAGCATTAAAAGAGAATAAAATCATGGCATGATAAATGGATGGAGTTGGAGAATATCATGCTAAGCAAAATAAACCAATCCCAAAAAACCAAAGTCCAAATGTTTTTCTGATATGTGGATGCTGATCCATGGTGGGGTGGGACAAGGGAAGAATGAAGGAACTTTGGACTGAGCAAAGGGGAGGGTGGGAAAGATGATAAAATGAGAGGGACATCATTTCCCTAGGTACATGTATGTTTGCAAGAATGTGGGACTCTATCAATGTACAACAGAGAAATTAAAAGTTGTGCTCCATTTGTGTACAGTGAATCGAAACACATTCTGCTGTCATGTATAACTAATTAGAACAAATTATATATATATATTTTAAAGCAGGAGATGTAATTCAATGTATTAGTAGAAAAAAATGTAGACTCCAAGGCTGTACCCATTTAGGCTACTATTCCCAGTGACTATGATTAAAAACCAAGGCCCAAGTTTTTCCAGGTTCCTAGGCTGGGGGTGAATCCCTCAGTGGGCAAATTGAAGTGAGTCCTATTCCTATAAAGTGATTTCTCTATTCTGATCAGTTGCTGATGGGCCTCATTATCCACCTTATTTATTTCACCATTGGTAGATCTCTGTGATTCTGGCTCCTTTCTTTTCATTTTTTTTCCCCTGGGGATGGAACCCAGGGCCTTGTACATGTTCAGCAAGCACTCTACCAATGAACTATATCCCCAGCTCCTATGATTTCCTTTCATTCTAGTTCTAGCTCAAATTTACTTCTCATCCCTCCCTCCAACTCAGTAACACTAACGAAACTGTTGTATTTATAGTAAGTATTGGTTTCTCAAATTATTGTTTTATCTTGATAGCTAGAATAGAATAGCAGCTCTGTGAGAGCAGGAACCATTTTATAAGTGTTACTGCTTTTGCCCCAGTGCCTGGCACCCAGAAAGAGCTGAACTGAAGAAATACTTTCTGGAAGGCCGGCTTGCTATTTCTGTTTTCTGGGGGATGCTCAAGTGGTCTCTTAAGGCTTTTCCCAACTGGAGAAATCTTGTTTCTGGTTGAGGCCATGGAACATTGTCCACCACGAAGACATTAGGGGTTGTGAGAACTTTGGCTTGAGAGGCAGACATTCTCCTATCAGGAAATGGTGAAATTCAAGTTATGACCTCACACCCCAATCCCCTCTTGCCCCATTTAGGAAGAAACTTCAGGGATGAGATAAACAAATGAAGATTCGGTGTCTGCATTATAGTTGTACTCAGCTTCATGGCTTCTCCATTTCATTTGATTCTCAGTATACCCCTTGTCACTCCAAGCCACCTAGGCTTCCTCTCAAATTATGTTCCAATTTGTCTTCTGAAGTTGGGGTTCAACTTCAGATTTCATTTCAACCTGTGTCAAGAATAGCAGACAACCAGTGTGGTCCAGTGCTTTGCTTTGCTTTGCTTTGCTTTCTTTCTTTTTTTTTTTTTTTGTACCTGGGATTGAACTTGGGGGCAATCGTGAGCTGCATCCCCAGATCCTATTTTGTATTTTATTTATAGACAGGGTCTCACAACATTGCCTAGGACCTCACTAAGTTGCTGAGGTTGGCTTTGATCCTCCTGCGTCAGCCTCTTGAGACACTGAGATTACAGGCATGTGCCAGTGTGCCTGTTTTTTTCTTTGTATTCTTAAAGTTTGGAGTCCAAATAGGAGGGCTGGGGATGTGGCTCACTGGTAAAAGTGCTTGTCTGGCTTGCATGAGTCCCTGGGTTCAAATCCCCGACCACCCCCCGCAAAAAAAGAATTTACTAAATAGGCATACAAATGAAGGATGAGTCTGGATAAAACATGGCTTCTTCCATCATTGGAATCACTACTATCATAAGCATTATCTTCAAAGAGCTCTGGCTTACCTGTCTTGTCTTTTTTTTTTTTTTTAAAGAGAGAGAGAATTTTTTAATATTTATTTTTTTAGTTTTCGGCGGACACAACATCTTTGTATGTGGTGCTGAGGATCGAACACGAGCCGCACGCATGCCAGGCAAGCGTGCTACCGCTCGAGCCACATCCCCAGCCCTTATCTGGCTTTTCTATCCAAATCTATTTTTTGTTTGGCTGGGACCCTCAACCATATTCTAGAAGTAAAATTGCCCTGGATCCTGTTAAGAGTTAATGGGACTTGTGGTCTTCCATGGGTTTGACCACCTTTTCTCAGTCATGATTGTAACCAAGGTTATTCACAGTCTGCATGAGTTACTTTTGGTGACTTCATATCTCCAGCCCTGAGACCCCCTTTTCCTTCATCCACTGACCTTCCATTCTTGCAGCTCAATCTGCCCCTTCCTCTCTAAGCTCCCAACAAAATGGATTCTTTCACCAGCTTGTTCAGAATTCAATTTTCTTTTTTCCCTTTGTACTGGGGATTGAAACCAGAGACACCTTACCACTAAGATACAGCCTCAGCTCTTTATTTTTTGAGAAAGGGTCTCACTGGGTTATGGTAGCTGACCTTGAACTTGTGATCCTCCTGCCTCAGCCTCCTGAGACTCCTAAGAACTGCTGGGCGTGGTGGTGCATGCCTGTAATTGCTGCTGCTCTGGAGGCTAAGGCAGGAAGATTGTGAGTTCAAAGTCAGCCTCAGCAACTTAGTGAGGCCCTAAGCAATTTAGCGAGACCTTGTGTCTAAATGAGGTATAAAAGGGCTGGCGATGTGGCTCGGTGGTTAAGCACCCCTGGGGTCAATCCCCGGTACAAAATTAAAACAAAAACTAAAGGAACCTACTAAAGATTTCTGTGTGTATTTTATTCTACTATCTAAGATTTGCTAGGATTGTGCTGCTAAAAAGCAGCCTCCACCATCATCTTTAAAAAGTTGCACTGATTTCTAGTGATTGATTCATGTACTTATCACCCCGCCATGCCCGGGACCCGTGGACATCATCCCTATGTATATTAAGGTGCCAAAAAGGAGTGGTTAGAACTCAAAGGGTGGAGCCTCCGTCCTCGTACCGGAAACTACTGTCCCTCAGTGCGCCTGCGAGACTCCCACGCCCTGCGAAGTGTTCCTATCGATTCGCTCAGTGCTCAGCAGCTCTTTCTGTTAGCAGGCGGCCATCTTGCCTAGAGCCTGAGAAAGGGAGAAGAGAGACAGAAGGAACGGGTGACAGTGGTCTCAGGGCCGCCCCGGGGGCCTCAAGAGCCGGAGGCAGCCCCGGAGGTGGTCCTCGATCCTGGGCTATGCTCTTGGACCCGAGAAGGGAAGGCGGAGGGCGGCGGGGTCAAGATGGGTGGGGAATGTCAAACAAGAACTGCTAGGTGGGGGAGGGGCGTTGCTATGGCGACTGGGGAGGGGCGGGGTCAGGTCTGAATTGCTGCTGTGAGTCACGCCGGCGCTGCCCAGGAAGGGCAGGGTTGGGGTGATGACCATGGTAACAGCCCAGTGGGGTTTCGCGACGTCCCTGGCGTGGAGGGAATCCGTGTCTATGGCAACAGCCACCTGGCAGAACGGGCGGAACTAGATCCCTTCGCCTGGGACGCTGACATTCCAAGCCCTTATCCTGCAGGCTCCCGCGGGCGGACAAACCAGAGGAGGAGGCCGGGGAATGGCCGCGGTGTGGCAGCAAGTCTTAGCAGTGGACGCGAGGTGAGGCGTGGGGTCGGAGCCCATGGGAGCGGAACTTACTATGGTGCATGCGCAATGGCGATAAGTGAGGCTGGGCGGAGAACTTGCCTTATGCGGCTGCGTGGGCATGCCGGAGGTGAGCATGCGCAGTAGCAGACGTGGGGGCGCTCCAAAAGTGAGATGACCCGGCTTGAGAGAGTTCTAAACAGCATGCAGGGAAAATGTGGTCAAATATGGGCATGCGCAAAGAGGCTACGGGTGTGGGGTGGGGGCGGTGGACCTCAGGTTGGTGACTTCTTAGCACTACCATTGCCCCCTCCACCCCATAGACTTTTCCATGATCACTGGATGTGATCCCATCACCACACCACACTAACCGCTACCGTTGCCTCACACTAATCATTGTCATGCCAGTCTGACTTATATCACCAATGCTAGACTGATCCCTGTTCCTGTTTGTGTGACTCATTCCCCCCATACCACCCCAACAGAGCTGCAGAATGTGTTGTCCTCACACTGACCTCATCACCATGCCAGTCATTCCTGCAGAATCACCCCTATCACAGACCAGGAGGAAACCCCCCATCAACACCATTGATCACTCTTGCCACCCTGACCTCAATCACTGCCACATACCTCATTCGCGGCCCTATGTCCCAAGCTGATTGATTCCCTTTGTCCTGTGCCTGCTGCCTGCCTGCATCCTGACCCCGCAGGTACAACGCGTACCGCACACCAACGTTTCCACAGTTTCGGACCCAATATATCCGTCGGCGCAGCCAGCTGCTGCGGGAGAATGCCAAGGCTGGGCACCCCCCAGCACTGCGTCGGCAGTACCTGAGGCTGCGGGGCCAGCTGTTGGGCCAGCGTTACGGGCCCCTCTCTGAGCCAGGCAGTGCACGTGCTTATAGCAACAGCATCGTCCGCAGCAGCCGCACAACCCTTGACCGCATGGAGGTGAGCCCTGGTCATAACTACCTATCATGCACCTCCCTTGCCTCTACTACATTCACCACAGACACTTGTCAAGCACTGATATGTTCAAGGCACTCTTCCAGAATCTTAGGGTCAGCAGAAGATAAAAAGAGATAATATACCAATTTAGCCAATAAATACACAATAAACTTGATAAACAGGTTATAAACAAGATAAACATGTCAGTAAACATAGCAAGTCAGATAAATAAGTCCATAATTACCATGGTGAGAGTAAGAAGTGCTAAGATGGAAAAATAAAACATTCTTAAGGGATTAACAAAGGACTACTGTGTGGGTGGGGTGTAGCTCAATGGTAGAGCACATACATGAGGCTCTGGGTTCAATACCCAGTACTGGAAAAAAAGGGGACTTGAATGTTTGATGGGGGTGATCAGGGAAGCCTGCTTTACTTCAAGAAGGTGACAACTGAGACCTGAATGAAATGAGAGACTGAGCTAACTGGTTTTCTTGGGGAAGAGTACTTATTCTTTGTGCAAAGAACACATATTGTGTATGTGCTGAGCAGAGTGGGGTAGAAACAGGAACAAGTGAAGAAGCCATACAAATGAGCTATGATTGTGGTGGTGGGGGATGTGTGTGATGAGAAGGGGTCAGGTTCTAGATATATTTTGAAGGCTCCAGACCTCAGAGGTTCTCTAGGGCTGTTTTTAAGATATCCACCTTGATCTTCTCTGTCTGCAGGACTTTGAGGACGATCCTCGAGCCCTGGGGGCCCGAGGGCACCGCCGTTCTGTCAGCCGTGGCTCCTATCAGCTGCAGGCACAGATGAACCGTGCTGTCTATGAGGACAGGTATGCACTGGGGGCAGCTGAGTGATGGACATTGTTTTTCGTTTTTTGGGTGTTTTTTTTTTGTTTGCTTGTTTTTTTTTTTTTTTTTTTTTTTGGTATTAGAGATTGAACCCACGGGTGCCTAACCACTGAGCCACATCCCCAGGCCTTTTTATATTTTTTATATTTTTATTTTGAGACAGGGTCTCATTAAGTTTCTTAGGGCCTTGCTAAATTGCTGAGGCTGGCTTTGAACTTGAGATCCTCCTGCCTCAGCCTCCCAAGTTGCTGGGATTACAGGTGTGTGCCACTGTGCCTGGCTGGGATGGGCATTCTTGAGGAAGAGAGGGGCCCTGGGGCATGGCAGGCTGAACACCCATACCTACCTCCTGTCACCCTCCTCCCCATTTCCTTTTGGGGCTAAGGCCTCCTGGCAGCGTGGTGCCCACATCAGCAGCAGAGGCAAGTCGGGCCATGGCTGGGGACACATCGCTGAGCGAGAACTATGCCTTTGCAGGCATGTACCATGTTTTTGACCAGCATGTGGATGAGGCAGGTGAGTCAGTATATGGTGGGTCCCATCACCAATATTTGTCCAATCATCCATCCAAGGTATCCTTTTCCAGAATGCAAGGCCTCTGACATGCCTCTCAAGGAGGAATTACCATCCATAAAGCCTTTTACAAACTCAAAAGCCCTCTCCAAAGTGGTCTGCAAAGTCTTGGTACTTTATATACTGTAAAAGGTCTCAGAAACTCAAGAGAGCACTTTGCAGGAGGCTGCCTGGGTTCATGAGTCACTGGGAAGAATTCAAAGCCTTTGCTGATGATGAATTCCCTTGCAGAGAGCAGAGTAGGCTATGCAGTGTCAGGTTTTGCAAACTGCTGACACCTGGATGATTGTAAAGTGCTCGCTAAGACAGTAGGAGCTTTTTCACATTGTAGAAGACTTGAAATCTGCAAAGTACCTTCTGAAATTTAGGGAGCATTTTGGCAGAGGTTACAACTGTCTTTGTCAGCCAAGGAAAGCCCTTTGCTGAGGTCACCATTCCTTGTGCAATGGGGTCCCAGTCCTCTGTACACATGTCAGAGCCTTTTATAAACAAAAATGCCCAGCAAGTGTGCTGACTCCCACAAATGGCTCTTTGGCATTGCAGTCCCAAGGGTGCGCTTCGCCAATGACGACCGGCACCGCCTGGCTTGCTGCTCACTCGACGGCAGCATCTCCCTGTGCCAGCTGGTGCCTGCCCCACCTACTGTGCTCCGCGTGCTGAGGGGCCACACCCGTGGTGTCTCCGACTTCGCCTGGTCCCTCTCCAATGACATCCTCGTGTCCACCTCCCTGGATGCCACCATGCGCATCTGGGCCTCCGAGGACGGCCGCTGTATTCGGGAGATCCCTGACCCTGATGGCGCCGAACTGCTCTGCTGCACCTTCCAGCCCGTCAACAACAACCTCACTGTGGTCAGGCTCCAGGGCACCTGCTTACAAAGGGCAGGCATGCTGGGTCCGAGGGCTATCCATAGGCATCAGAATATAAAGTCTAGGATCCCTCCCTAGTCCTGTCACAGCATCCTTACTGTGGTCAGACTCAAAGGGAAACCTGCCAGAGAATGGGAAGCACAGTTCTTGGTCTGAGATGGCCTTGCTGAGGTAGACTCTAGGGGGTGGGGCTGGAGGTGTAGTCATGATTCTGGGACCCCTTTGGTCCCACTGCTCAAAGTCCTAGTTTTCCACCTGCATGGGGCTCTGGAGAACAGGGTGTTGAGGCTGAAATTTCATCTAGTCTCTCAGTGGTGGCCCCACTGTGGTCAGACTCCAGAACAGATTGGTCAGAGGGTAGGGGGAAGTATATGAAAAGTCTGACGTGACCTGGGGGTGGAGGTGTCAAGTACAGGGAACTGTCCAAGAGTGAGCTGTGGTTGGAGGATGTTTCTTGTTTCAGCGGGAGCAGCCTCTCAGTCTCCAGGAAGGAGCAGTCAGGGCACAGGGGAAAGCTGTTATGTTACTGTAGGCCTGGGAAAGCCCTGTGGTTTTCAGACTGGCCAAGGGTCAGCATTATTGCCGTGACCCCTTTAGTACCATGAGCAGCTGTTCTACTGTGGGCAAATTGCCAGAGAGACTAGCAAGAGAGCAAAGGGACATGACTGAGTCACCTTCTGTTCTACCCACTGTACCTCCCCTCTGGTCAAACTCAAGAAGAGACCGTTGGGGCACAGGATGCTGTGTTCATTCTACCCACAGGTGGGGAATGCCAAGCACAATGTGCATGTCATGAACATCTCCACTGGCAAGAAAGTGAAAGGTGGCTCCAGCAAGCTGACAGGACGTGTTCTTGCTCTGTCCTTTGATGCCCCTGGCAGGCTGCTCTGGGCGGGTGATGACCGTGGCAGTGTCTTCTCCTTCCTCTTTGACATGGCCACAGGTAGGCAGGCCATAGACCTGCATCTGGGTGCTCTGCCTCTTATCCATACAGGGCTCAGCCTTCACCTTCACCTTTGCCTCCCCTGCCTCCACTGCTGTAGGAAAGCTGACCAAAGCCAAGCGGCTGGTGGTGCATGAGGGCAGCCCTGTGACCAGCATCTCTGCCCGTTCTTGGGTCAGCCGTGAGGCCCGGGACCCCTCGCTGCTCATCAATGCTTGCCTCAACAAGCTGCTGCTTTACAGGTGTGTCCCTACCCCCATCAGGTTCACCTCAGGGGGGCAGGGCAGGAAGGCCTTCCTCCTCCATCAGACTGGGAGAGGAGCCTATCTCCCTCATCAGATTAATTTCACTGAGGGTGGAGATCTGGCTTCATAATATGATGACAGGCCTTGTGTTATATATAGCTCAGTGGTAGAGCACTTGTCTAGCATGTTTGATTTCCAACACCCCCTCCAAAAAAAAAATAACACTGGCTGTAGTTGTGGCTCAGTGGTAGAGCACTTGCCTAGCATGTGTGAAGTACTGGGTTCGATCTTCAGCACTACATAAAAATAAATAAATAAAGATATTGTGTCCATCTAAACTAAAACAATTTTTTAAAATATTTTTTTAAAAATTAACAGAATTATGGTGATAATAACAATAATGTCAGTAACAGCTTCTATATGGCAACTGCTATGACCAGGCCTGTGCAAACTCCTTTCTGTGAATCACATTTAATCCTTACACTAATCTGTGAAATAGGTACTGCTATTATCTCCATTTTACAGTTGAGCACACTGAGGCATAACAGATCAGGGTCATGGGCTGGGGGTGTAGCTCAGTGGTAGATGCTTGCCTAGCATGAGGCCCTGGGTACCATCTCTAGCACCACACAAAAAATAATAATAATAAAATAAAGAAAAATAAACAGAGTCCCTTAGAGCTAAGGCCTGTTTTCTAGCACCACAAAATAATAATAATAATAATAATAATAATAAAATAAAGAAAAATAAACAGAGTCCATTAGAGCTAAGGCCTGTTTTCCTTCCTTCCTTTTATTTATTGTATTTACTTATTTTGTAGTGCTGGGGGTAGAATCCAGGGCCTCACACATGCTAAGTCCATGCACTGCCACTGAGCTATACCCGCAGCCCTATATCATTGTTTGGCATTTCTGTGGGGGAGAATTCCCTTCCCCCACTCACCACTGTCATGTTACCCAGATGGGGCTCTCATTCTGGGCTGTGCACTGGAATGACCTAAACCACTTAGGCCAGCCAGGCACAGTGGCACATACCTGTAATCCCAGCAACTTGGGAGGCTGAGGCAGGAGGATTGGAAGTTGGAGATTAGCTAGAGCAACTTAAGGAGACCCTGTCTCAAAATAAAAAGGGCTAGGTGGTTATGGCTCAGTGTTAGAGCACCCATGGCTTCACTCCCCAGGACCACACATGCGTGCAAACAAAGTCATGCCCAGGTCCTACTCTAGTCCAACAATTTCAGAAGTGCTGGGTGGGCCTAGGTTTGGTATAGCAAAAAAGTCTCCAAGTAATGTCTGGCCTGGCCTGGCCTGAAAACCACTGCCCAACAGGATGTCAGTTTTAGAGATTGAACCAAGGACCTCATACACTCTACCACCAAGCACATCCCCAGCCCTGTTTAATTTTGTTTTAATTTTGAGAGAGGGTCTGCTAAGTTGCCCAGGCTGGCCTTGAACTTGGCAATCTTCCTGTCCCAGCCTTCTGAGTAGATTATAGATGTCTGCCACCATACCCAAGAACAGAATGCTTTTTAATTGTACTATTTATCTTCTTTAAGAAATCTTCTATATAGATATACATATTTACTTTTTTCTTTTACTTCTAGTATATTCTTTTTTAAAAAAATATTTTTTTAGTTATTGATAGACCTTTATTTATTTATATGTGGTGCTGAGAATTGAACCCAGCGCTTCAAACATACCAGGCAAGTATGCTACTGCTGAGCCACAACCCTAGCCCTTCTAGTATACTCTTAAGTTTTTGCGCACTTCCCTCCTCCTGCCACCTCAGCCCTCCCATTGCCACAGCAAGGATGGTGACAATAGGCATCTTTTCCACATGTGTTCTCTGCCCTCAAGTCCCACATGTTGAAGGAAGATAATTGTTTTACAGAAATTCTCCCCCCCCCAACCCCCACATCTTGTTTACATCTCAGGTTTATCCCCAGAAGATGTCTTGTGGAATCTCACCCCCAGGTTACCCATAGTAGCTGTACCTCATTCTCTTTAGTAACTTTAGTTTTCCACATGGTGGACAGACTGAGATTTGTACAGCCACTTCCTTTCTCTGTGCCTGTCTTGACACCAGATCTTTTAGAGATGCTTAATGAAAAACTAGTTGATGAAACCCTAGAGGCTCCCATTTGTGTCTACTGATATGGTTTCTGAACCCTCATGAAAACACACAGCAGCTGTACTTACAGGTGTATGCTATCCTCTTAACACTGGATTTCATGCCAGGCATAGTGGCACATGCCTGTCATGCCAAGTATTTAGGAAACTGAGGCAAGAGCTTGAGTCTAGGAATTCAAGGCCAGCCTGGGCAACATGGTAAGACTTCTAAAAAAGAAAAATCGATTTCATGAACCTTAAAAAGAACTCAGGTGTGGGGGTGGAGACACAAGACTGGCCTGCTGCTGGCCCCCTCCTGGATCAAAGGCTGTGTCCCGACCTGCTTTGTCATCCTCTCCTCAGGGTGGTGGACAACGAGGGGACCCTGCAGCTGAAGAGAAGCTTTCCCATTGAGCAGAGCTCACACCCTGTGCGCAGCATCTTCTGTCCCCTCATGTCCTTCCGCCAGGGGGCCTGTGTGGGTGAGTCCCAGAGGGGCAGGGGCCTGGGTGGCTAGGGAGGAATAGATACCAGGTCTGCTATTGTCCTGGTTCAGACATTACAACACCCTAATGCCATGACTTCCAGGGCTTCATGTCCTCTTATGTCCTGTCAGCCTCACACAGGAACTCACAGCTCCAAAAACTTTGAACACAGACCACCTAATAGCCCAGAAGCTTTCCAGCCTGAGACACAGGCTCCCAAACAGCCCAGAAATCTTACCTTATACACGTAGAACCCAAATCGTCAGATGACCTTCCATCTAGGAATGGTCCCCCTTTTCAAACCTCCACAAGCCATGCTGGGTCTTCACAACTCAGATACCTCAGGGCCTTCATACCCACAGCACCCCAGTCATCCTGATGGCTTCTCCCTCTCACCTGGACAGTGACAGGCAGTGAGGACATGTGCGTGCACTTCTTTGATGTGGAGCGAGCAGCCAAGGCTGCTGTCAACAAGCTGCAGGGCCACAGTGCACCTGTGCTTGACGTCAGCTTCAACTGCGACGAGAGCCTGCTGGCCTCCAGTGATGCCAGCGGCATGGTCATCGTCTGGAGACGGGAGCAAAAGTAGGGTCCTGCAAGCCCTGTGCTGTCCACGAACCCCCACCTCCTACCCTGGTCTTGCATTGTAAATAAAGTTTCTGTGGTTGTGCTGAGGGCCAGCTCCCAGGTCTGCCAGGGGGCGGCATGGGGGAGTGGGCAGCTCTGGGACCCATGGTGGAAGGGGGTACAATTATTCATGCAGTGTTGTGTTCTTTCATTCAACAAGCACTTACTGAATGTCTGCTGTATCAGCCTTTTACAGTCATGTGTTCAACAGTATTGAGCACCAGCTGTGTGCCAGGAACTGTTCTAGGCCCTGAGGATACTGCTGTGACCTAAACTGACAGAAATCCCTGTCCTCATGGCCCTGTATCCTAATGGAGGCAAGCACACAATAGACAAAAGAATGGCCAGTCCCCAACTTATGATGATTCAACTAACGATCTTTCCACTTTACTACTTCTAAACTCTATGATGGTACAAAGGCATACCCATACAATCAGTCTGTTTTTTTCACTTTCAGTACAGTGTTCAGTAAGTAACATGAGTAGTCAGTACTTTATTATAACGTGGGCTTCGTGTTTGATGAATTTGCCTAACTGAAGGCTAATATAAGTGGTCTGAGCACATTTAAGGTAGGCTAGGCTAAGGTAGGATATGTGGTAGATTAGGTGTATTAAGTGTATTTTCAATGTACGGTGTTTTCAACTTACGATATATGTATCAGGATATAACCCTGTTGTAAATCAGGAAGCATCTATGTGTAATAAGTCAGCTAAAGATGTGAAGAAAAATAAAGCAAGGAAGGGAGATAGTCTAGGAGTTGGGGTTGCAGTCTTTTTGGTGATGTCATTAGGAAAGACATTCTTGATGGTATCATTTAGACAAAGTCCTGAATGAAATGAGGGGGAGCCATAGTGTGATAGAGAACATTCTCAAAGAAAAAATCCAACACAAAGGCACTGGAGGGTAGAATGTGCCTGAAGGATCACTGTATAGGCTAGAGTGTGAGAGTAGATGAGGTCAAACAGGCCAGGTGCTTGTAGGGGTTCATGGGCCATGATGAAGACTTTGGCCTTTTTCCTGAGTGAAGGAGAAGTCGCCCGTTTTAAGCAAAGGAGGAACATTATCTGGTGACAGTGGAGGAGTTGGGTAGAAAATGCTGGGTTCTATCCTAGAGAGTTCATCATATTAGGCTACAGGACCCGACCGGGTCCTCCAGGGCACTGAGACTCTGCAAACCTTCCAACATGGTAGCCTCTGCCTGAGTGGGCCCCATAATTTTGCACTGGGCTGTTTCTCACAAGCAGGGAGTAGAGATGTTGACTTCTTGGATCACCCAGCTGGTGCAGAGATAACTATGGACCCTGAGACAGCTTGGGGCTCCTGCTGTGGGATGGAGGCAATGGGAAATCTCCCAGACCACTCCTTTCTCCTCCCATGCCCACTTAGGGCCCAGGGTTTGCCCTAGAACAGCTTAGAGACCAAAAAGTGATGTTCCATAAGGAACCCTGAGTAAGGAGAGATCACTTGGATTTTGACAGGGGGACAAATAAACTAAAACCCTTGTTAATGATCAGAGTGACCAGGAAATGTCAAAGAGGCTCTTGCTCCAGGTATTTCCTTCCCTTTGGCTCTGTATGCTGCCACATATATGCCAATTTGAACTGTGGTTAATATCTTGGGACCTCAGAGACAGTCAACAGAGTCAGAGACTCCAATCTGGTGGCCCACCATTGCTGAGCTCCAGAACTAACACCAGAACTAACCCCAGTCTGGTTGGGGGAGGAAAATAATCTGTTCAATCTACTGATATTTGACAAAAAGATTTCTGATAACTTTCATCTGACAGGCCTTAGGGAAACGGTGATGAGGTAGGGATATTAGGGACCTGAGACACTCATGTACATGTGTGTATCATTGTCCCTAATACCAGTGGCAAGCTCAGTTAATATGCTAGGAGGACTTATAAGACCCAGCGTATGGTTGTATTCATGAATACTTTTTATTACAGAAAAAAATACAGAGCAACATTAGCAAAGGGAAATGGTGCGCAGGGCCAAGTTTTGGGGAGACTAGGCACAAGTTCCCAAGGGTCCTCTCCCAGTTGACTCATAGGATGTGCTCAGTTTTCCCAGTTGACTCATAGGATGTGCTCAGTTCTCCTAGTAATGGGGTTGTGACAACGTGAAATGTTGCCAACTAGGGAAGCTCATCAGAGACACAGGGGCCAGGGTTTTTGGGGTGGCTGGTCACAGAGACCCCCCTGCCTATCACACTGCCCCTTATCCAAATTCGACTCCCAGAAGGAAAGCAGGTGTTCAGCATGAACCACATTCCTTGTGCAAATAGTTGAGGCATAGCGAGCCATCCTTACCTTTTAGGGAGTGGTGGGAATACTGAAATGTAAGTTCCAGATAGCAGTCAGAACCAGCCTTGAAACAGGCCTTTCCAAGGATAGCGGTTCAGATCTGCCAAGTTCACTCTTTCCTGCACTGTATGCAACACTAAATAGATACTCAGTTTTAGCCAAGGTCTCTGGATGGCAAGATAATTATGGAGAATCAGTTTTCTTAACTTCTTTTCTTCACACTCTTCATGTTTTATTGAATCTGGATTCAGGATGATTGGTCATGATTGTTGTGCATGATTTTGGGGGTTTCCTCCTTGTGAAATTTTTGAGGTGGCAGACTTGACATTTTACTTTAAATTCATCTTGTTGATACTTTTCTTGACTGAAAATCTAAGGGGAAATAAATACTGGACAAATAATAAAGAATAAAAAATAATATTATTGGTCAAACGTGGGCCTCTGTTAACTTGTCCATAATCACTGTACCTCTGATTTGACATTAGATCTGGAGCTCTGTTAACCATTCCACCATCAATGCTACTCTCCTATTCCCTTACAGCATTGCCTCCATTAACTTGTCCATGCCCCTTGTCTGACTTTGAACTGGTGTGTTTAACTACTTAACCATCAAGATCCTTTCTGGTATGAGCCTGAAGGTGGGCTTTTATTAATTATTATCCAGCTAGTCAATTACCACTGGTCAAGTCTCAAAACAGGGCTTCTATATGATATTCCACTAGCAACTGTCCTCTGAACTGACCTCAAACTTAGGCTTCTGTTAGTTATTTTGTGAGCAATGTCCTTTTGCTCTGAGGATCCTCAATCCTGACTTTGAATCTGAGGCTCTATTAGTTATTTCACTGTCAGTCCTCTTATGGTGTCAATTCTATCAACACCTCTATATTAACACTTGGACCATTAATAACCTGTGTCATCCACAATTAAGCCCAGGCCTCTAACTATTCTAACATCACTCTTTGACCTAAAATCTGGGTATTTGTGTTTGTCGTGCTGGAGAATCAAACCCTGAACATTGCACATCACATGCTAAGCAAGCTCTCTACTACTGAGCTACATCCCCAGCCTCTGGGCATTTCTTTTCCTTCCTTCCTTCTCTCCTTCCTTTCTCTCTCTGTGCCCCCCACTTCCTTCCCTCCATTCTTCCATTTCTTTTCTTCCTTCTTTCTTTCTGTACCAGGAATTGAACTCAGAGGTGCTTAGCCACTGAGCCACATCTCCAGCCCTTTTTATTCATTTTTGGTGATTGTTTGTTTGTACCAGGGATTGAACCCAGGGGCACTTAACCACTGAATCACATACCCTTTATATTTTATTTTGAGACAGGATTTCACTAAGTTTCTTAGAGTCTCACTAAGTTGTTGAGGCTGGCTTTGAACTTTAGATCCTCCTGCCTCAGCCTCCAAAGTTGCTGGTGTTACAGGCATGCACCACCATGCCAGGCCTTTGGGCATTTCTTAATGTTTCCTCAACTGATACCTATCTAGTATGACCTCAAACCCAGTTATTTTAAAGACTACCACCATGAGTGTCCATCTGGCCTCTGCTTAAACTTGTGCCTGTATTAATGCTCCCACCATCTTTTATTTTATTTTTTGGCATTGGGGATTGAATCCAGGGATCCTATACCACTAAGTGACTTCCCTGCCTTTTTTAATTTTTGTTTTGTGAGGGTCTCACTAAGTTGCTGAGAATGGCCTTGAACTTGTGATCTTCCTGCCTCAGCCTCCTGAGTTGCTGAGATTACAGTCCTATGCCACCATGCCTGGCAATGCTTCCAGCATCAAAACCCCTAATTTTACTTTAAACATTTATTTTTTAGTTGTAGGTGGACACAATATCTTTATTTTTATGTGGTTTTGAGGATTGAACCCAGTGCCCCATGCATGCTAGGCAAGCGCTCTACCTCTGAGCCACCCTAATTTTATTTTAAACCTGAGTTGTTGTTTTTTTTTTAACTCTTCTGTCAGTGTCATGGTGCTCTAAACTGCAGTTTGGGACTCTATTTATGATTCTACCATCAATAACTCTTTGCCATCCAGGCATGGTGATGCATGCTTTGCAATCCCAGCTACTCTAGAGACTAAGACAGGAGGACCTCAAGTTCAAGGTCAGCCTGGGCAACTTAGCAAGATCATGTCTCAAAAAAGGATAGGGTGTAGCCCAGTGATAGAGAACCCGTGGCTTCCATCGCCAGTATGGGGGGCTTTTTGCCAGACCCTTGAATCCAGTCCTCAGTGAATTCAAGATAAGTGCTCCTCAGGTCTGATACCTGAATTTGAGCCTCTGTTAACTTTTCCACCCTTAGGCTTGGAATGTAGCTCAGTGGTCGAGGGCTTGCCTAGCAGGTGCCAAGTCCTGAATTCAATCCCCAGCAATGCAAAAAAAAAAAAAAAAAAAAAGAAGAAGAAGAAGAAGAAGAAAGGAAAAAGAAAAAAACAAAAAAACACTTTTCTGCACTCAGTGCTCTTCGGGCCTTGACCTCAGTAAACTAGCCCACTATTTATACCCTCTGATCTTGCCTCAAACCCTGGCCTTTATTTAATATTCCTCTATAACCGCTGCCTTGATCTGATATTGAACCTTGGGCACTGGTTACACTTGCAGTATAATTCCCTATGGGCAGGCCTCAGACCTGTGTGCTTATTAACTAAGCCATGGTCATTTCCCCCTGTTCTGACCTTGAACCTGAACTTCTACAAACTATTGCACCATTAGAACCCCTCTGGCCTCCTCTAAAACTAAAATTCTGGCCGACAATTCTTTTTTTCTGACCTTCAGTCTGGGCTTCTGGTTAATATCCTAGCACCAATTGGGCCTCT